TTCAACATTAACCAATCCAAACTACAAAAGTAAATAATTAACCAATGATTACAGAATCAACTAAAGTGTCTTACTAAGAATCTACAAATCCTAAACCTAGGAAATCATAAATACATAGCTAGAAACTAAAGACTGAAATTGAAACTCCCCTTTGAAGCTTGGAAACTCATGCCACACCACCATTCTTCAAGAGTTGATAAACCCTAGCCCTCCACAGCTCCAGGCATTGCTCCAACCAGCAGCAACAATCGAATCTCCATGGAAGAAGAGGTTATGGATGGATTGAAGGGAAAGATGATGGAATGTAATGAAGAATTGATGGAAGGAGGAGATGAGAGGATGATTCGGCCAAAGAAAGGTGAGGAGAGACCGAATGAGGCTTCCCTCGGTTGAAACTCAGCTTATACTGGCTACTGGAGGTGGTTTTGGGTTGGGTTGAAGCCTAGGGATCCGAATCAGAATGCTGAAATAGCGACTTCTGCAATTCTGACAAATCCGCCATCCGCCACAGCGGATTGTACTTTTCAGCCAAAACGCAAAGCTTCATTTACTTAGGGCCTCTGGTGTAATTTCTTGAATTCTAGGGCCCTTTTCTGCGATTAATTCGGTCTTTTACTACCTTGAATGTTGGGACTAAAGTGTGATTTCTAAATTTGCCCAAATTTCTCCCAAAGTACCTACATGGAAAATCATATTTAATGTAGCATCAATTATCCTAGAAATCAATTAATAATAATTAATCTCCAATTATGACAATGTTGCCCCTATTATGCACTAATTCAAGGTAAGGCACTTTAATATAAATTAAGCACAATAAACAGTAAAAGAGCTACTAACTATGATAAAAAAACCCTTAAAATGATATGAAAAGACAATGAAGAATTGGGTTCAATCAAAGCGCTGGGCACCTAAAAGTTTTTTGAGAGTGAATTTGCCCTCAAAAGTTTACAATTGAAGCAATATTGCCCTTTACTGTCAAAAAACTAATGTGGATTGTTAGCGTATATGCAAGCCAACACTTTAAGCAATACAAAGGCGTAAGTCATCTATATCTTAATTTGTTGCGCCATACTAAATTGGATTAGGCTTATTGTTGAATTTCTTGTCTTCAACTTCTAACACACACACACAAAGATTTAGATCAATTTGGCAACATTAATTACTTCATACTCCTCTGGGTTTATTTATAAGATAGAGAGAAATTTTTTTTGGGTCATATTTATAAGTCATCTCATTAAATTTTTAGTATGAATGCACTATTTTATCCTCCATTTATTATAGTGCAAAAAACTATTTTTTGAAAGGTATATATATTAAATAAGGGTAAAGTTGAAAAGTTATTATATTTTGAAGAAGAGTTACTGCAGTTTAAGATTTTTCTGGATCTATAAGGAATATGTTAAAAATGCCTTATAAATAGAACCAGACGAGTATATATATTTGTTCTCTTATTCAATAATATTGTAAATAGTACATTCAATTATTTTTTCATTTTTTAATTTAAGTTTAATCTCCCTCTTTAAGGTGGGGGGTAAATAGTTATTCTGCATAACTTAAACTGTAAATTAATTTCTTGAAAGTTGATTTGCAATTAAATGATTGTAAATTATCGGGGTCATCTATCATGGCATACCTCACCACTATTTCTTTTATGTAACAAGGTATATTTTTAATGCAATTAAAAGTTGTTTTGTTTTAAAGGGAATCTTTACCGGAGACGATTGCTCATATGCTGGTTCATGCCAGTATCTCAACCATGCCGTATTAATTGTGGGATACGGTTCATGGAACAATCAGGATTACTGGATTATCAAAAACTCTTGGGGAATCACTTGGGGACAGGATGGTTACATGTTCATCAAGAGAAACAATGGTTCCACGGAGGGAGTGTGTAACATAAATTGTTCTGGTGGTTACCCAATGAAAGTGAAGAAAAAGAATCCACTTTTGAAGCTTGATCCTTATGCATGAACTCCACCTACGTACAGCAATACTACTCCGTCCCTAATTATAAGAACCTTTTGGCCAAATTGCGCTTTTTAAAAAAACAGTTAAAATTACTTAAAAGCAATTAATATGTAACAAATATAATTTTTTTTCAAATATACCCCTAATAAATGTAAGAGAGTAATAATGAGATAAATAGAGAGAAAATATATGGAGAGAGAATTACATGAGAATTTATTTAGGGTAAAATAGGTAATAATGTATTAAATGTTCAGACAAACTCGAAGGGGACCTTATAAAAAGGGACAAATTCATTCAAAAAAGGGGATCTTATAATTAGGGACGGAGGGAGTAGTAAATAAAGTTATACTACTATATATATATTTGGTATAAATAAATGCAAATTATTTGCCTTTGAACAAAGCTTATGAAGAGCCTTAGCTAGTCATTATGAATAAAATATGTGCTTGCACTTCGACATTTGTTCTTCATAATGAATTAGGGATATAATTGCATCAGTATAATCCATTGAAAAGTAGAGAATATCATGTATTCTCTTATGAATTTATCATTAAAATGTGGTTGCTAATAGCACTAAAAGTTGCGCTTGTAATTCTTCTTAATTTTAACCGACACAAAAGTGAGTTTGAGATAACATGAAATTGCAGATACACACAAACACGCACACAAGTGGGCAAATAAAGGAGACACGGTTGAAGATTATGCTAGAAATTAAAGCAAAATGTCTGCTATTATGATTTTTCCTATAATTTCATCAGAAATCTATCCCCTCTTTTCACCTTGCTTTTATTGGTGGCCTCAGATTCCAATTTTCCTACAGGCATCTTGTGAATCACCAACAGGAATTCAAATTAATTCAGAAATTCGTAAACAACTGATTAAGAGACGAGATCATGAATGGATTCTCCCTAGATCGAATCAGAAATTACAGTTTTAATGTCTAGTCTTTAGAAAATTTTCTCCCTGTTTGTTACTTTCAATTGCCCAAATTTTTTTTGAAAAATCAGCCCATTGCCTGCATTTTGTGGGCTTACCTGTATTCTTTATATACATATACATGTGTGTGTGTGTAAATATATATTAGCCAATCTAAAACCCATTCGTATACATCCACATGCCCTTCACACACACCTACCTTTGAATATTAAAATCACTGGGGCTGGCGCTGCCGCACACTTGTCCGCGATCCTCCCCCCGCACGCGTACATATGTAGGGTCAGGATTCCAAAACCAACGAATCAGTTTAATAATGAGATAATTAACTAATTTGAATAGATTAAAGAAATTAATAACTTACTTATTTGTAATAAATAGTTGTTTTTTTCTTAAAATATCCTTATTAATCATGTATATTAGCTAGAACTACTATTTAATGAAACATTTAACATATGCAAGTACTACAAGAATTATCTTAGGAAAGAATGGATAAATATAATAAACAAATTGGATTGCGTTTTGTATATAAAATCAAATAAAATATCAAATTAGCTCTTATATTAAGGACTGGAATACGAAGGTAGTATTATAGTTTATGTGTTTCATTTACTCAACCTGTAGAAAATGCGATCCCTTTCAATCTAATCATCATTCTAAAAAGTTACCGACTGCAAGCTTAGCTCCCCGCATTATGATGACAACTTAGAAAATATGCAAGCAAAAAAAAAAGATTATAAAATATGCCAAGAGTCCGAAACCGACGAATCAGATCACAGAGCAAGGATTCTATATTGAGATTCTAGTATGTTAAAATTTTGATCAGTTTCCATTCATTTTTAAAGTCACTGTTAGTTTATATACCACAAAAAAAAAGTCACTATTAGTTTGCCTTGTCTTTTTCACCGGCCCTAATCAATTTGAATCCAACGAAACAGCCCCCTGCATAGTAGAATTATCAAAAATCATATATAGTTGAGAGAACATGTTGATAGATGAGAGGAGTACATGGTAAATATCATAAAATCCGATGCTAATTTTTTTATTTGATTAATTTTTCTGAACAATAAATCACTTCGTAATCAACATAAAAATCACGGAATTAGCTGCAGGATTAAGTGTCACGTCATATGTGAAAAGAAATAGTACTTGACGCGCCCGTTGTCTTAGTTTTATCTTTTGTAGCACTCTTCGCCAATAAAATTGTAGCTAGTCCATTAAAAAGTTAACTCACATTAATTAAATGAAATTATAACTAAAATCATTATTGGCAATATATCAACAAATTACGGCATGTGGGTGTCATGTAGTAGGATGAAAAAAAGCGAACCATTTGTTTGAAATGTTAATTCCAATATCATTTCCAGCCCAAAAAATGTGGTTAACTACTTTATTATTTTTATGAAATATATACCAACTAAACAAATTTATTTTTTTGCAGTTGTCTTTGACAGTAATATTATTCGTTATTGAACTGTAATTATATTTATTTTATTTGAGTAGAGGCTACATGAATCATACCATCAAAATATAATTTTTAAACTTTAATAAAATGCATTATTCATGAGTCATGGACAATGTGACCCTTAGACTTCGTCAGATGTGCAAGAACCACACTAGTTTTTAATGATTCTTTTAAATTAAAGGGACAAAAAGGAAAACAATTGAGAATATTACTCGAGTCTTAATCAATGGATGGTCTGATATTTGTATATACAAGTCTCTAACTTGGAATTGCATTTTATTTTCTAAAGCGACAAGAGTTAAGTATGTTCTAGTCAATTACTTTTTAGGATTCACCAATTCATAGAATCATCCATTCGACAATGGATTCACAGATTTAGTACATAGAAACATAATGCTCGTTCTTTAAAGTTTAAAAAAACCTTTAATGATTCAATCGTTCACGTTTTAAATAATACAAGAATGTTTGTATCGAACTCAAATCTGAAATGCTTAAAAAACTATATAATATAGTACTCACTTATCTAATGCCACCAATTATAGAGGGAAGGTGGCTCTATAAATACAGGACAGTTCTATGCAATAACCATAATACAAAAGCTCGATATCATTATACTACTAATGTTTAGTGCAAAATGAGTTCTCTTGTTAATAAGTTGGGCTTCCTTTTCTTGGTATGGTATTCTCTGGTTTGTCTCGCTTTTAGTCTACCTGATGAATATCCCATTTCAAACCTAGATCTGGATAAGTTCACTTCCGAGAAAGAAGTTTTCCAGCTACTCCAAATGTGGAAGACGGAGACTAAGCGAGATTACCAAACCCTAAAAGAGGAGGCACAAGGGTTTGAGATCTTCAAGGCCAATTTGAAGATTATTAGAGAGAAAAATGCAAAACGAAAGTCTCTCTACGACTATCGTTTGGGTTTGAACAAGTTCTCAGATATGAGTTATGAGGAGTTCAGCAAAATCTACTTACATGGGATGAAGCAATATATAACCGAAGGCAAAAAGGGCCATGTCGAGTTTAACAGTGGCTCATGTCCTAATGCACCTTCTTCATTAGATTGGAGGCAATCTGGAACTGTAACTTACGTGAAAGACCGAGGCTCATGCGGTAAGTAATCTATTCTTTGGTTAATTATAAATGTAAGAACTAATATATCAATTCATGCAAATTAATAAAATTAGTTAAGTTTATTATTTGTCATTATTGCATTAGTTTCCCTAAAATACTTTTATTGAATACAATTCCCTTTTTTTTATGCTAAATCAATAAGGAAAATTTGAAGAAAAATAATAATTATGAAAGACAAATGAGATTGAGGTTTTACGTTTAACACCAAAACAAACTCATTGACTATCTCTTGTATTTAAGATCAAAGGGAATATAACTTTGCTGTTTTTTCAATGACCTGATGGCATGATTCAGAAGCATAAATAATAACTCAAATTGATACTTATAGGAAGTTGTTGGGCATTCTCTGCAAGTGGGGCTATTGAAGGAATAACTCAAATAGTCACACAATGTCTTCCGAGCCTCTCCGAACAACAACTTGTGTCTTGTGACGGTTGTAGCGGTGGTTGTTCAGGAGGCTTTCATACAAACGGATTTCAATATGTCATCGATAATGGTGGTATAGCAACAGAAAGAGATTACCCTTACGCTGCTAACGATAGTACCTGTAACATCACATTGGTTCGTGCTCTTTGTCCAATTCCCCCTTGACATCTTATCTTACATATATATCTCGATTTCTGTACATTTATCATATCTTGAACCCTCTCTTTTGATATATTGACCAATCACAGGCAAAGAAGACATTTGCAACTATTGATGGCTATTATTGGGTAACATCTTTATCAGAAGACTCACTTTTTTGTGCTGCTGTTAACCAACCTATTAGTGTCGCCTTATATGCAGGCCCAGAATTTATGACATACCAAGGTGTAAGCCATATATATATCATAATAACTAATAGATCACCACTTTTAAGAAACATTTTGTGACTTGTAAAGTTGTCTTGTTTGGTTTTTACAGGGAATCTATGATGGAGCTAATGATTGCTCAAGTATGGATCCATGTTATATTAATCACTGTGTGTTAATTGTGGGATATGGTCCATGGGGTACTGGTCAAGATTACTGGATTGTGAAAAATTCATGGGGAACCTCTTGGGGACTCGACGGTTATATCTTGAGTAAGAGAAACAGTGGTAACGATTATGGAGTTTGTAACATAAATTGCTATGGCGCTTACCCGACCAAAAACAGTACATCAACAACACATTTGCAGCTTGATTCCTCTATGTGAAGTCATATTCATGTGTTAGTCGATGTGAGCCTTGCACATTAGCGTATGTGTATGTTTGTGTGCGTGCGTGTGTGCGCGTGCGTGCGAGCGTGCGTGCGTGCGTGCCTTTCAATAATGCTCATGTAAGCATTGGTTATGAATAAAAGCTCTACTTTTGCTTCAACTTTCGCGCTAGTAAATTTTTAGGTCTTGAATAAACGCTCTTGCATTTTGTGTTCTTTATTTCGATAGTTAATGAATCGGTTTCAAATGGAATTACCAGGGTCTTTTATATACTCCTCTGGTCCTATTTATAGGACGGAGCGGGAGGACATTTTTTTGTCTTTTTTATAGGGCACTGAGAGAAATTTTTTTGTATAGACGTAGAATTTTACCTCTCATTTATTATTGTATTGATTTTGTTTACATAAAATAGAATGTATATTAAATAGGGATAAAGGTAGAAAGTTATTATATTTAAATGAGAGTTAATAAAGTTTAAAGTTTTTCCTAGTTATGTAAAACATGCCAAAAGTGCCTTATAAATAAAATCAAAGGAGTAGATACCAATTCGCATATGGTTCTTGATCTTTAGGCTTTGTAACATAAGCTCAAAGCAAAAATGTAGGCATGGGGACGAGAACCTCGAGATATTAAAATGACCAAGGCCCAAAGCAAAAAATGAAATGAGGCAAAGGTAATTTATTGTTTTTTTGGGCCGGCAAAAGGTAGTTTATTTTAGGAAAAATGACAGACAAAGAAAGTAGAATATATGATATTTCAATTTAGGAAGCTAAGAAAATATAATAACAGAGAGAAGTCTTTTCCAAATTGAAATTTTGAAATTCAATAAAACGACAAAAAACCCTTTGTCTTTTTTTTCCTTTAAAGCTCAACCCTCACTGGTGGTTGGCCACTGCCAGCGACTGGCCATCGACGGCCGGCAGCAGCCACCGGGCACCGATGCCAGCCACCGATGCGGTGTCTGCCGGTGGAGCTTTTTTGGTCACAGCTTTTTTTTTTTAACTATGTGAGAATATTGCAAGAAAGTAGTGAGGGTGGGATTTGATCCCACTACCCCTTGGCCAGTTGGGCCAACAAAAGGAAAGATGACTATTGGGCCATCAAAAACTTTTTAACCTTATAATACAAACAAAAATATAAGTTGACTTTTCTGCTGTTACTCCAGCTGTGACAACAATTTATCTAGGAATGACAACTCTTAATTGAAAAATAACAAGTCTAAATTTGATATATCATGTTATGTATCAGGAAAAATGACACATCTTAATTGAGAAATAACATGTGTATTAAAAAATATATGTCTTAAAAATGACACATCTTTACTGGAAAATAACACATTTTTAGTGGAAAATGACAACAATTTATTTGGGAATATACATGTTATTTCATGTTATGTATCAAGAAAAGACACATTATTAATTTGAAGTTTAGACATGTTATTTTTCAGTAAAGACTTGTCATTTTTAATTAATGTACATGCTATTTCTTATTATGTACCCAGAAAAGTTGCTTTGTTAATATCAAATTTAGACTTGTTATTTCTCAATTAAGACATGTCATTCTCACATAAATTGTTATCATTTTTAATTAATGCATATGTTATTTCATGTTATGTATCAGAAAAAGACACATTGTTAATCTCAAGTTTAGATTTATCATTTTCTTGTAAAGACATGTCATTTTCAAATAAATTATTGTTATTTTTAATTAATATACATGCTATTTCTTGTTATGTATCAGAAAAAGTTACTTTGTTAATATCAAATTTAGACTTGTTATTTCTTAATTAAGACATGTCATTCCCACATAAATTGTTGTCATTTTTAATTAATGCACATGTTATTTCATGTTATGTATCAGGAAAAGACATATTATTAATTTCAAGTCTAGACGTGTCATTTTCAAATAAATTATTGTCATTTTTAATTAATGTATATGCTATTTCTTCTTATATATCAGGAAAAGTTGCTTTGTTAATATCAAATTTAAACTTGTTATTTCTCAATTAAGACTTGTCATCCTCATATAAATTGTTGTTACGGGCTGGAGTCACAGCAAAAGAATCAACTTATATTTTTATTTGCATTATAAGGTTAAGAAGTTTTTGATAGCCCAATGGTTATCTTCTTTTTTGTTGACCCAAATGACTAAGGGATAGTAGGATCAAATCCCACCCCACCACTTTCTTGCAATATTCTCACATGGTAAAAAAAAAACTGTGATGAAAAAAGCTCCACCAGCAACCACCGCATCAGTGGCTAGCGCTGACGCCCGGTGGCTGTTGCTGGCCACCAGTGAGGGCTGAGCTTTTTTTTTAAAAAAAAAAAAAGGCAAAGAGCATTTTTGTCATTTTACTGAATTTTAAAATTCCAATATGGGAAGGACTTCCCTCTCTATCATTACATTTCCTTAGCTTTCCAAATTGGAATATCATATATTTCACCTTTTTTATCTGTCATTTTCCCTTTATTTTATTCTCTCTGCTTTTTAACATTTAAATATTATTTTTTATTTAAGATTTGAATATTATTTTGTTCATTTCTACCTTGTTGCTTCCCTCTTCGTCTCTCCAAAAAAATAAAAAAACAAGAAATGGGGCTAATTCATGGGATTGTAAACGGACGGTTCAGATCGCCAGATAAGAGCGCAGCGTTCTTATAAGCGCGTGCCTGCATGGGGCGTTTTAATCTGTTGACGTGATGGATGGCTGAGATTAAACAAGTTAAGACGCCGTCGGTCTTCCTGTGCGCGCCCTTAAGTGCAGTAAAATTGCGTTATTTTTGACCGTGAGATTCATCCAAATGGTGAGGAAGGCGTTGCAGGAGGATTTTGCAAAACGGTGCGTTGGCAATTATAGCCCCATTATTTAAACACGAGGGGGGCGGGGGAGTTTGCTTAAAATGGCCTGCTTGAAAATCTTTTCAGTAAAACATTCCTGAAATTTGTTTAAGGATGTACTCATTTTCAGGAAGTGCAACTCCTTTTTTTAGCTTTATGTAATATATTTTTAATTATATGCAAATGCCTTTAATTGAAGATATGTTGTACGTAGTTAAAAAATATAGTACTCTTAAATAATTTTTAAACTGGTACTTTTAAATAATTTTTCCAATATTCCTCTTAAATAATTTTTAAACTGGTAGAGTACTTTTAAATAACTCTTCCAAAACAAGTCGATCTCTTTTGTTGGGAGTCTCACCAATAATAAGATATTACCATTGGAAATGAAAAAACAAAGAGAAAAGGCATGTCTAAACCAACAGCCTGAGCCAACTTATTAATTATTAATAAATAGATAGGACAAAACAACTGAGCGTTAAAGCGCATCAATATCTTGAAATATTTTATCAGATACATTCAATATCCTGAAATATTTTATGATCATCCAGTACTTTAAGGTATTTTTCTAACATATCCGGCATTTTAAAATGTTTAGATGTATCTAACACTCTAAAATATAAGTATATCCAACATATACTAAAATATTTTTTGATGTATCTAACACTAAAGTAAAAAAAAAACTTTTAAAAAGTTAGATAAACCACAAAATATTTAAGGATACTGAATATACCTTAATCTAATAACTAAAATACAATAACATAAAGCAAGAAAACACAAGAAACATGTGCTGGATTCCGAGGTCATAATTTTATAGGAGCGTTGCGCAATAAGAAGAAAAGGACAATAAAGAAGACCCATAGAAAAGAGACATTGCAACTCTCATGGCTTTGTTTTATTATTTAAAAATTGTTAACTCATCGAGTAACATGGACCAGGGCCCCACGAATCATGTTGTTTTTTTAATACTCCTCTGATCTTATTTATAGAGTAGAGAGAGAAATTTTTTTGTCCTATTTATAAGTCACTTCATTAAATTTTCAGTGTAAAAATACTATTTTATCTTTCATTTATTATAGTGTAAGTAGATATCTCTTTTGAAAGTTGTATATATTAAATATGGGTAAAGTTGAAAAAGTGTTATATTTTAATAGAGAGTTAATGCATTTTAAGGTTTTTCTTGATCTGTGCCAAATATGCTAGAAGTGCTTTATAAATAAAACGAGAGGAGTATGCTTTTTGACGCATTTATTACTCATGGAGTAATAAATCCTTTTTAATAAATGTTGTTTAATTCGTTTTCTAAATCTCTCATTTAATAAATTTTAAAGATTAAAACTAAAATATTATCAAATTTTAGAAACTAAAAATAATATTAACTCTCGTTATTATATGAAAAATTAAAATGGGAAGATCAGAAAGGCACTTTTGGAAAAAGTGCATTTCATTAAACTTTGCAATATTTTATTTGACTAAAAAAATCTTAACTTGTTTCTTGTATTTAATAATAAAGGGAGCATGCTATACTTGTTATCCGCACAGACATTAAATTAACTGTTTTGTTAATGATGATTTATCAATATATATGTAAGAGCAATATCATTTAGTATTCATAGAACCAAGCCATTGATCGGCTCTTATAAACTATAATTAATTAAATTATATTGCCCTTTTAGATAAGCATGGAATCAGCCGTCCTTTCTCCCCGCCCGTTATATTATTTTATTTGAGAAAGGGACGATTTTATGAAGCAAATTGATATACGTTTTGCTGGTCTAAAAAAAAATTGATATACGTTTCGAAAGAGAGGTTTTTATAATTTAGGTAAAATTGGAAGGTAGTTAATGTAATTTACCCTAAAATTTTAACGGCCATGGTGATCTCATATGTGTGGCTGTCAAACCACCTTTCCTTTCCATTATAAATTGTCAATACATGACAACAAAACAGCTGACAACGTATATTTTAGCTATGTCGAGCTATTTTTCGAAATTGGACTATAACCTATATAAATGTAAATTAAAAGAGAATCCCAGAAAAATATTTTAAAATTTTAAAATTTTAAATCAGTTATATTTACTATCTTACAACACATTTTCATAGTCATTCTTGATTTGAAATTTTAAAATTTTGAAGATTTTTTTTAGAATTCTCCCTAA